GCCTGATAACATATAATTAATCTGTCAAGCCACATTCCATTGAGCAAAAATACGGAGACATTTGCAGTCAATAACAATAACGTCTACAAGAAGATCAAAAGAAAGGTGAATATGGAGGCAACCACTCTAAACTGATAAATTCCAACACCACAATTATATACTATTTAATCATTTTTGTGGTTGAATTTCATTATCCTTAATCCTGGGCACAGATGTGTAAATAATTTTTAATCAAAGAGAAAAAAATGCGTATGTGTCCATATGCACCAAAAACAAGTTTTCGATTCTCTATGAGGCAAAGTGATTTGGTCTTTAAATATTCTTAAATGTTCTTTCAAACATGAAGAATTCATATTTACGGAAGATATTTGGTATCATGATTGCAGGTGGAGTATAAGATACAATGCACATTATCATATAGGTGCTTGACACCGAGTTCTCAATAAATGTCAGACGAATGCATCAGTGAATAAATGTCATTTCCCTTTCTTTGCAAAGGAACCGTGTCTTCATTTTTCACCAGTTACTAACATACTTGCACCGTGGGAATTTTAGCTGGGGAGTAATTTTCATTCCCATAGGCTTTGTTTTGAAAATACAAATCCAACAATAGCAATTTAAGCGCTTTGCTTTTTCTTCTTAAGAGCCTTTGCTAGATTACAAAATAACATTTACAAGCCACATGGCCTAAGATGATATGGAAAAATTAAAGCCCATCTATAATTTGCCATGAAGGACTAAAGCTAACAAGACACAATAAAAGTGGGAAGTATAATTGTTGCACTACTGGCATCTGACAAACGTAATTATCAGAGTCAAAACAGTGACCAAATTTCAGTTGGGATTTGTTGTGGGGGGTGAGGTTGTGATGTCAGCAAGTGATTGATGAAATTTTGACAAGAGTTTTGTTATTTAGTAGAAGACTTTTAATAAAAGTTAGATTATTTAATGGGATGAACACATATCAAAAGAAGTGAGAAAGATAGATATATCAGGGATTAAGTGTCGCTGCTAATTTGTATCCCAAACTTCCTTTGTTACCTTCTCACACCAGCTGAATCTTGGGGCTCAGAGAATTCACTGGCTCAGGTGGAGGCATTTCCATCAGGGTATTTTGTGACTCAGTAAAGAGCAAGATGAATTTAGGTCTTGGAAAAAGCCTATTGGAGGAGGCTTCCACATCTGGGTCTGGATGGTTTAACTTAAACATCTAAACTATCGGCTTCTACTGTACACAGTCAATCTCAGCTGTGTCAAAGTTTTTGGGATATCAAAGACCAGTCAAAGTGGAATTAAAACTTTGCAAATCACTATGAAAGTTATAAATGTGCTTTTAACTTGATCCTGCCATTCTACAATCCAGCACTCCAAAATATAGCAGGGTGTGCGTGTGCACACATACACGATTTGATTTTCACTGCTTATCTCAGCATACGTTATCTACATTTGTGAAATATACCTCATATTAATGGGACTATAGGTTAGATTAACATGTAACTTCACAATAGAATCCTGTGTAGTAGCTTAAAAATATATAGATATAGATATCTTCACATCCAAAAGTAAAAATGCCATTGATGGTATATGTCTAACACTATTTTTGTTACCAGTGACACTTATTTTTTATTTATTTATGTATTTTAGAGGGAGAGAGAGAGAGTGCAAGTGGGAAGGGCAGATGGAGAGGGAGAGAGAAACTCAAGCAGACTCCGTGCTGACTGTGGAGCCCCATGTGGGGCTGGATCTCACGACCCTGAGATCATGACCTTAGCCTGTAGCTTAACCAACTGTGCCACCAATGACATTTATATGCATACAAAATGCACACACTCCAAATTGTTAATAAAATTATCACTTGAAATCATGTGGGATTTTCATGTTCTGAGCAATACATTTAAAAATAATTATTTGACAAAAATAAAAATAATATTTGAATATTTTAAAATAAGCACCTATTAGGTTAGTCTTCAGAAATTAATACAAATTTTGAAAATTTTAGCCATGGAATGAATATTTAAGGATTTAAGTCAAACTTTGAAAATTCAGAGATGAAAAAGGAAATTGAAAGTTTCAGCAGAATATGTAAATCCCCGGTATAATTATTTATTTACGCAGCTTTTAATCATGGTATGTTTTTTTCCAACCAAAAATTTCATATGAATCTAGTAACAAGTATTAATGTCAAAGAACCAAAGAACCCAAAAACGTGCCAAGAAGTTTCAAATTTCAGTGAATCCGTGGTGGAGCAGTTGCAGTTCCCAATCAACATACAACTTCACGAGCAGCATATTCCTTTCATCTAAATGAGCACAACAAGCATTCTTTCCCTGAACTATTTTTTTTATTGTGGTAAAATATATAGAATGCAGAATTTACTATTTTAACTGTACAGTTCTGTGGAACCATGGCCACTATCCATTTCCAGAAGTTTTTCATCTCCCCTAAATGAAACTGTATGCATTCAATACTCACTGCCCATTTTCCCCTTCCTCTTCCCCCCACCCCCCCCACCCCTGGCAACCACCCTGCTATTTTCTCTCTCTGTGAATTTGACTACTCCAGGTGACCCATCTAAGTGGAATCAGACAGTATTTATCCTTGTGGGACTGGCTTATCTAGCTCAGCATAAGGTCTTCGGGGTTCATCCAAATTGTAGTGCGTGTCAGTCTTTCCTTCTTTTTTAAGGCTGAATCATGTTTTATTGTAGGTATACACTACATTTTGCTTTTCTGTTTATCTGTCTATGCACACCTGGGTCCCATGGATCTTTTGACGCAGCAAGGCCTCAACTTTGCAACAGCAACGTGTATGATGGGCTGAGGTGCCGAGAGAACTGCAGACAGGAAGCAAGGCTGCCTCTGGTCGATCAAGGCAAGGCGCCAGGAGAGTGGCAAGTGGGAAGGAGCAGTGAGCAGATGTGACAGAGGGTGTGCAGAGACAATTGATAGAAACTGGCAAATAATGGGGCAGAGAATAAGGGCGAGCAAAGTCACAAGTGGTGATGCTAATGTGATGATATGATGATGAGAAGTGACTTGGAAGGGAAGATGAATTCAGCTGGAAACGCTGAAATTGTGGTCCTGGTGAGACACACGGGTCAAGGCATCCACCAGAAAGCTGCTGGTGGAAGAGAGGAGCTCAGCAGAGGCATCAGGCTGGGAATGGACAGCCTGGCCAGTCAGGTCAGTGTACAGAAGGGAGTGGGACCCCGGTTCGATCGCTGGGAAGTGTACACATTTAGAGAGAGTAGGGAGTCAAGCTGCGAAAGCAGAAGGAAGGAGGTTTGGAGGGATGGTTACAAAGTTAGAAGGGGAAACAAGAGCACAGTGGGAGCCCAGAAAGCAAATTTCAAGAAGGTAGAATTTGAATCTGCAGTGTTGTGTAGGGGAGTAGAGGATATTACTCAGAAGAGGTATTGAATTCGGACAATTAGAGTTGTCTGATTGGGGGGGGGGGGAGTCAGCCAGATTTCAAATTAACTCACTAACCAAACAGGGAACCAAACACAATCCAACATGGAAGTGGGGTGTGGATGATTCTGGCACAGGGAGAACAGAGGTTTCCTCCCTTGCCCGTTTCCTGAGGATCTAGATAAAAAAAATGTATTTGAAAATTGTGGGATTATAAAAGCCCAGAAGAGTGAAGTCTGTATGAAAATCTATAGAAGAAAACATTCTCTTTGCTGACTCAGGTACTGCAATGATAGATTCCTATAGCTGCATGCAACCCACACGCACCGCAGCTTCATCAGGACTCAGTGTGAGTAGCTTTCAGATCCTTACGGAAGCCCCAGCCTTGAGTTACAGGGCAGCCCCAAGGCTCCCCAGACACTTCCTAGAACTCTTCAGCCCTTGGCTAGCTCCTGTGGCCAACAATTCTGACAGCTTTTCCCGCTCAAGCGTTCTTGAAGCCTCCATCTTAACTGCCCTCAGCGCTGCTTGTACTGCTCATCAAAGAAACCTTCCTCCTCCATGTGTCCACTTGCACTTTAGGGGAACGGCATTTCTGGGTTATTTATATTTGTGGGAGAGTCAAGACTCCAAATTTAGGGCTTTATTATCTAATCTCTAAACGGCCATTGTTACATATGCGGCAGGTGGTAAGCCAGAAAAGGTTCACGTTAGGTCCACCAGCGGGGATCAGAGGTATCCCCAAACCCTACCCTGGAGCTGACAGACTTCTCGCCCCAGTGGAGGGCCGGGGGTCTGCCATTGTCCCACCCCCTCCAGCCGACCCCAGGGGCAGCCTTGAGCTGGCTGGGGCTTTGGCGCAGGGACCCGGGGGGGGGGGGCTCGTGGCCCGGAGAAGGGGGTGCCGCTTACCCTGCGGCTGATCTCGAGGGCAACTTCCGGAGCCCTGACTAGGCTCGTAGAGTGCAGGGAGATGCGGGGCAGACGGTTCAGGTCCCAGGCCATCGGGGCACCAGGGAGGCGAGCAGCACCTACCATCCACCCAACCCAGCCCCACAGTTCATTGTTCCGTTACCAACAGCTACCGCCATCTCGGCGACTTTAAAAGCCAATCCAAACTAGGGAAGATCTGAAGCCAGTCCTTCTATGACGTTTTCACGTGTAGTCCTGCAGTGCCCACCGTGTTGTACCTGGGACACCGTCGCGTTTCTCCCGTGTGTGGTGAAGCTTGCTGTGGGTGCCAGAGGTCAGGTGATCAGCTACGTCAGAGCACCCCATTGTCAATCACCCACTAACAATCATTTCATTGATCTGAGCTCTAAATATCAGAAAACTTAGCTTTCTGAAGATGAGATGTACCACTGGCCACATGTGGAGGGTGGGGGTGAAGGAATGCCCTGCAGAATCCTAGCGGAGCCTGAAGCAAAAAAGAAAAAAGAAATCAGGACTGCTCATCCTGCCTTTATTTAAAATTTTGACATTCTGCTCATCATGAATGCTGTTGTATTAATTTTGAATTTCTAAAAAAAATATTGCATAAGACGTTTGTTTTGATTGCTGAGTTTGGTTGCTTTACATTTTTGTACTAAGGCCAGTGTCTTACTTGGCTCATCCTAGCCCCAGTCCCAGGATGCAGGTGGAGGTGGCAGTATCAAGGAGCCCCAGATCCCAGGCGCAACTCTTGGCTGATCATATAGTGAAGGGTAAGTGCATTTTGGTTTAGTAGCTGAGAAGTCCTCCCTCTGGCAGAAAATGGGTAAGTTGAGCCACTATTTGGCAAGTTTTTTCCAATCTTCAAGTTGTTGTTGTTTAATTTAGAACCTCTTGTGTAGGCTATGTTATGATCTTATTTATGTGAGTTTTGTTCCCCTCTAGCTTGGGACACTTTGGAGGCAGGATTCTCTCCGTGTCATCATTATTTTCTGCCCAGGCCTAGTACACTGCATTCAGTAAATGTTTATTCAATTGAATGAGCTGGTTTCTTGGGTCCAAATTTGAACTTGCAATCTAGAATTAAATGTAGCTGTTAGAAATAGGTCAGGCTACTTGCATTAAAAAAAAAATGCTGGTGTTGGAATAGAGCGTTTAAAAATGTCTCGGGGAAATCAAACACACACTCTTTTAGTACTTCTGAAATGTGTTAGGGTCTGGTAGAGGTGGGTGGGTAGAAGTCTTCCAAGTTATCACAGAAGGAGGGATCATCTGAGAATGATTGTTGAAGTGGTTTTTATATCCCAGAAATAAAAATCAGTTGAGAGGAATGATCCACTGAGAAAATGCATAAAATAATTTTCTGGTCTCTTGTCTCCCTTTTTTGCTGTTAAATATGGGTTATAGAATTTCAAATATCATTCATGTATCTGCTACATGAAAAAATGGAAATACATACTTTTTGTTCAACTTCGTACATTACACAAATGTGAGTTTTAGAATCATATGCAAAATACTTTTACAGAGTGTCTTACATAAGTAAACTACTGATCTGTTAATGTCTACTAAAATCACATTTAAAAATTTATCCTTTATTTTTTAAATCTTTTTACTCTATCAAGAAGAGAAAGAATTTTTAAAAAAGCCCTATTCTTAGTAAAGGAACTCAGAAACTCATTTATTATAAGGTCTTAATGTATTCTCTCTTTGAAAAAAATTCACAATTTATTTTATTATTTTTTTAAGATTTTATTTATTTATTTGACAGAGAGAGACACAAAGAGAGAGGGAACACAAGCAGGGCGAGTGGGAGAGGGAGAAGCAGACTCCCCACTGGGCAGGGAGCCCAATGTGGGGCTTGATCCTGGGACTCCAGGATCATGACCTGAGCTGAAGGCGATGCTTAACGACTGAGCCACCAAAGCGCCCCAAAATTCACAATTTAACTGATCACAAGGACTAAAGTAATGCAAATTTAATTACAGAATGTCAAAGATGGAGGTTAGCGAAGCACTTTTTTGGTAAAAAGGAACTTCCTAGAAATCCTCATATTGGTGGCACAAAATTTTTACAAAAGAAGTATCCCTAGCAGAGTGAGCAGAGAGTTTTTTTTTTGTTGTTTTATTTTTTACCTTGTGTGAGATGGGATTAGAGCCTGAGGAATTCAGCTTGAAATTTTAAAAATCCATGTAAAATGTATATTCTGCTTTACAATCAATCTTGTTTTAATATAAAAATAAAGTTGCTCCCTTACCTCCCCTCAAATCTTTGAGTAATATTTACACTGAAGCAAGACACCCTGTGTTTATCCTGTGGCTTTACCTCCCTGGCATATTGCCATTGCCTGCAGGGGTGTGCATACCCCAGTTTGAAAGCTCTATCATATCATGTATGTGGCTTTGGATAAGAAGAAAGAGCCTGTGCTCCAAGTCAGGGCATGTGGGGTTTGGTCTTAGCTCTGACATTAACTAGTTGTTGGCCATTTTCAAGTCACTTAATGTCTCTGGGCTTCAGTGTCTTCAATAGTAAAATGAACAAGTTGGAAGTTTAGCTCAAAAATCTACTATTTAACACTCCTCTAGACAAATAGTATGTACTGTTCACAGAGTAAAAGTTCATGTTGAGATGTTGACATGCGATTGTTTTTTAAGAAGAATTTTCCAGTGGAAAATGTGTGAGAAAAAAAATTATGGGTGTGATGGTTATCATAAAAGCTAAATAATTTTTAAAAAATATTCTTAATTTTGCCTTGAGTAATTCCAATAATCAGCCTGGATGCTATTTTTCCAAGTGAGTGAAAAATATTTATTGTATGAAATAATCATTATCAGCCATTTTCTACTGTGGAGAATCTGCATTAAATGAGCAACATATCAGCCACAATCAAAACATATTCTTATATGTATAAAAATATATCTTTTTTATGATATTTGATAAGCACAGTGTCAACATTTTCATTGTTATAAGTTTAGGTAAAATATCATTTTAGTTGACAGTTACAATTTTTTTTTGCTTACACAAAATGAGAATGAAATGGAATATTGAGAATTCCTGTAATTCTCTATGAGTCTTTCAGGTTACTCTAAGTCTTATAGAAGGAGACACTGACTGCCTTTGTTCAGCACTATATTTTAAATTTTTATAACGAACACCCTTGGAAGATGTAGTGTCTACCTCCTGAACAAATAGTCGGTGTGTTTTTGTTTTTTGTTTTTTTAATAAGCAGCATAATAAAGGCAATGTCTTCTTCCCTTATAATAAACATAAGATCAGGCAGGGTTTTACTGCCCAGTATGAAAGATTAAGATTTCTAAGTTTGGTGTTCCTCTCCTCTAACACCACCCACGTATGTGACCACATCACCTGGCCTGCTTCTCATTGCCCTTTGGAATTTGTGGCTGGAATTCGTGCAAATACTGATACTCGGGCTGTGCTGTTACTGTGAGTAGTAAACTGTCCTTAGTCTCTGACCCAGAAGTCTCCTATCATCTGCCAGCATGTATGAAACTGGCTTGCTAACTTGCTTCTGCCTGTGTAGGTTTTTGTTGTTGTTGTAGTTGTTGTTTAATGGAATACATCCTTCTAATTTGTTCTTCAGCTTTCATGTTTCTCTTTACCATCTCATGATCTTCCATCTTTCAACCCAAACTACTGAGTTGAATTGTTGCATAATGTTCCCCTGTAATGTTTGTTACAGTTTATTTATGCATTACTCTATTGATGGACGTTTATGTTGTCCAGTTTTCTTTTCTTTTTGCTATGATAATCAATGCTGTAAGAAGCGTCTTTGTGATCCTGGGTATTACATCAGGCGAAATTCTTTGATGGTATTAATGAGATATATATGTGTGTCTCTTTCTCTATAGGATGATATTTTGTTGAATTTTGCCAGTCTAATTGGAGAAAAATTTTATCTCGATGTTTTAATTTGTACTTATTTAGTGAAGTTGAGTGTCATTCAAATGCTTATTGGTCCTTTGTATTTTTTTCTGTGAGTTGTCATTTCATGTTAATTGCTTAACTTTGAACATGCAGATCGAAATGACTGAAGCCCTACAAGCTAGGTGTGTAGAATTTCCCAGTTATTCCTTGAAGTTACCCAATGACTCAAGTCATCTTTTAGCATCCTGCACAACTGTCTTCCCTTGTTTTCTCTCCCTGGCTAATGCCTGCTGCACTTCAGACTGCTGAGATAAACTTTATTTCTCTGTCCCCAAAGTACTTTCACTGATCTCTGGGATCCATGCCCAGCATGCTATCACCTGATGTTGATAGTGTTGCCATTGTTTAAATTATTGGAAGGATGGTGGGTTCTAAGCTAATAGGGAAGCATCAATCTCTCCACAACCCCATGACATGTTTTATCATCATAGTTCTAAAGGAAATTTGCCCATATATATTAGTTCTTGAACTCTCGCAGAAAGATAGCCATTTCCAGTTCTTCCTTACATACCTTATTTCCTCTCAAAATTCACACACAATCCTCCAAATAGCTACCTGAATAGGAACAGGAAGTGGTTCAGGTTTGGAAACATTTCTGTACTCTCTGGAAAAGCTAAAAACCTCTAGACAGAACTATAGCTTCACCAAATAATATAATTTTCAATTCTAAACCTGTGCTGGTTTCTGTGTGATTTCACATTTTCTCCCAAGATCAATGTGTCCCATGTCTAAGCTCTATCCATGACCTCACATAGCCACCCTTAGACTATTCCTTGTGCCTAGAGGAGCACATGCCTATCAGGGTTCTAGATATAGAGTGTGAAAAGATGAGGGGGCAAGAACTCCAGGTGGGTTCATCCAGTTGCCCCTTGGGGTGGGCAGGATTGGGGATGGTGAGTTCAGAGGAAGACCTGAGCAGGGCTTTTAAATCATGGGGCCTAGGACAGAAGACCTCTTGCCTGAAACTAGAAATGGCAACTGGGTGGAAATGTCATACAATTCTTTAAAATCAATTTCCATCATAGGAGTTCGTTGTGTGTTATCATTAAAATTACTGACCCTTCCTTCACTGGGTTCGATTTAGACTTCTTGAGTTGTTGATAGAAATTTATCCTAAACTGGCAGAGAAGTCTTGATAATACTAGCAGGAGGGCTTTGTTTTGTCATACACATGATGTCACAATCAGGCATTTGAAGCATAAATTCTCTATATAAATGTGTGGGGATTGTGTGTATAGTGTATGTATACACACATATACTTACACATATGTGTGAGTGTGTGCATGCACGTATGTGTGTATACATGTATGTTCACACACACACACACACACACACACACACACACACACACACACACACTAGACAACCTCTAAAATATCCCCAGTGATCCCTACCTCCTGGTTTTCACATCCTTGTGTTACTCCCTTCCCTTGCACATGGGCCAGATTTATGGGCTTCTGATAAATAGAATATGGCAGGAGGATGGGATATCACTTCTGAGATTAGATTACAAAAGGACTGTGGTTTCTGTCTTGGGCCCCCTCTCTCTTGTTCTGTGGTCTGCTCTGAGATAAACTTGCTATCATGTTGTGAGCTGACATAGAGAAAGGCCCACATGAGAAGGTATAGTTGTCACTAGCCAAAAGCTGGAGAGGACCTGAAGCCTGCCAATAGCCATGTGAGTCAGCTTGGGAGTAGATCCCCCCCACTGAAGCCTTCAGATAACTATAGCCCTGGTCTGGCTTGTATCCTTCTGGGAGACTCTGACCCAGGGTCACCCAGTTGAGCCACACCCAGATTCCGGATGCTCAAAATGGAGATAATAAATGTT